GTCTAACAGCGGATCGTATCTGATATTGCAGGACCAAGAATCGGGATAAAGATCACCGGGCTGAAGATGACTCTGACAGGAGGGTTCCATTCCAACAAACTGGCTTTCTTAATGGCCAAAACCAACTGCACGACGGGAACTACGAGCTCGTTAGGCGTCGTTACGAGGCGATTTGAACAGTGGGAAAAGCTTTAGGAGTCTTCCATGGAAATATGGATGCTTAACCGCAGGGCAGTCTGGCTGTAGACGGTTGATATGTTCTGTTTCGACGGCTAAAGCGTGGTGCAGTTAAATGGTTGAAACTTGAAGCAATCCATCCTGTAGCCAGTTTCCAAAACGTTAAAAGCGTAAAGTTTAGACGCTGGGCACAATGCCTGGTGATTATGCCTCGAATCTAGCTGCTTAAGTTAACTTTTACTCTTTACAAGGGCACAACAGTAGTGAACTACTCCTTATATGTTGTCAGGCACCCATCAAGCTTCATGAGCGCACCTGACAACAAATCGGACTACGAACTACTTTGAAGTGAATTTTACTAAAAATATGTCCTCGATTGTCGTGATTGTTTGATTTCCCACGCCAAGAGAAAGCAGTTATATTCTCAGATTCATGCCACATCTCCGACACCATATTGATCAGCATCTAGCGACGAACACATCTCGGCCTGTCGACAATGCGGGCACTTCCAGTGCGTTGGGCTGGACGCCCTCTCCCGCGAGTCTTTTCACGCGGCACGGTGGTCCGCAGGCAGGGACAATGGACAACGGCACCCCACGGAAGTGGCGAGCTGACACAGCCATCAGTCTATAACCAGCGACGCCACCACTGGTGCCGGCAGAGGCGCGCCCAGGAAGGGGAACAGTGAGGGCGTGGGAGATACCGCGCCACCACTGGTGCCGGCAGAGGCGCGCCCAGGGAGAGGAACAGCGAGGGCGTGGGAGATGCCACGCCACGACTGGCGCCGGCAGAGGTGCGCCCAGGGAGGAGAACAGCGGGAACAAGGAAAACACCACGCCACGACTGGCGCCGGCGGAGGCGCACCCAGGGAGAGAACAGTGGCAACGGACGTACCTCTATTTTGAACATAGCACCAAAAAGAGCGAAGAAAACAGCGACTTAATACACAACCCACAAAGACCGTCTCGCGACACGTTCGCCCGCGTCGCCGGCTGGTTCTACAGAGCGGTGACCTCGTGCGGCCCGACCCCGGTGCAAGGTCAGCCACCTGGGTGCTGACGTGCACGCCACGGCGTGTAAACACGCGAACGCGGTCAGGGCTGCGATGCTGCAACTGGACGCTTGGCCGGGCCCTACAAATGGTGCCGACATTGGATTCGACTCGACGGCCGGAAAACGGAGGTGGGGAGCGATCTGGTGAATGGTGGGCAGCGCGAGTGGGTGAGTGCTGGGCAGCGGGAGTGGGGGAGCGCTGGGAAGCGGGAGTGGGAGGGGTATGTTAACACACTAACGACGGAGGCGCAGTCCGGCAGCGAAGGATCGATGGAAGTTGCCGGAGCGGATATGGGGAAGACGGATCACTCGCAGTGCACAGCGTATAAACACTGACGCTGCATTAGTGTCTTGATGTAAGACTTGCATGACAGTTGTACAAATACGCGCAGAGGGTATGCTGGGGGTTTGGATCTGCGTTCGGCATGCACGATGTTGACGCATTAACGTGCATACGACGAAACTGGATATCGTTCGAACAAAACCTGCAAGTGCAAGAGTACGCTATATGACAAGTTTAAACACCAAGCGAACAAAAGCAATATGACGCGACAGCATCGCAAGCGATCCGGCAGATACGTGACAAAATTGTTGGTATCCCATTGGTCGACATTCCCATGCGCTGCCTGCCACCACCTCCAGGTGCCATGATCCAGAAGACCAGACCACCAGACTCAATTTCTGTGAGCGTTAGACTTTGCTGACTGCCGAGCCAAGCGGACCTCGTGACCCAGTTATGCTCTTCTTCCCTTGTTTAAGGGAGTAACTGGGAAGTAAGTCAAGCTGCCCCGCCTGGCTCCCCGCCTCCCTGAGCGTTCGCCAGCCCCCATCCCTTCCCGATAGTGATGTTTTGCGTCACCGTCGCATTACTGAAAGCATCAGCCATCCCTTTGTTGGCCTCCTCGAAAAACTGACCTGCCAGCCGCCGTATCGAAAAGACACGACCCCGTTTTTCCTCATATGTGTTTCCACCTGCGCTTCCTTGGCATCATTCTGCGTTCCCGGGCCTCGCTGGCTTCCCTGACAGTCTGACTCATCCCATCCCGACGTTGCCGACGCTCGAGCCTGACTCACCGCCGACCTTACCAGCTGCCAGCCTGAGAACGCCTCTGATCCGCTGGCCCTGGTCCACCCCGGTGACAGGCGGGCACCGCCGCGGGCTAAATGGCTGACATTCTATGCCAACGACATGCCTCACTCGGAGGCTCAAGACGCCCCTCTCCTCTCCCGACAAGCCGACGGTACGGGGGAGCCGACAGGAGGCATGAGCGCCCTCTCGCTGTCAGAGGAGGCGTTTGTGGGGCCGAACCGAGCCGACGCACCGTTGGATGGCGAGTGAACGTCGACCACACTCCCAGCCAGGGCATGCCCAGTGCCGTGGGTACGCCTCAGATAATAGGACTCTTGAAGTCAACTATCTCCATGCAGCGCCGTATGTGGA